GGGGGGGGGAGGCAGCGGTAGTTTGGATGCATGTCCACAATTGTTATAGTGTTGTGGCGGAGATGGATGGCAAGTTCTTATTTTATAAACTTTTTCAACGACTACAAATTGAACTCATGAAAGTTGGTCTTTGAAAAAAACTAACTCGTTCAATTATTTTCAAATATACTCAAATTTCACTCTTATCTAATATTTAAATTCCGATCGCGACATGTTTAACCAAATGAATTTGATTTGATCTAAAATATTTTATAGTTAATCTTTAATCGTACTCGAATTGCATTTATTTAATTTAATTTTAATTTGATTTGTGACAATTCATTTACATACAAACAAGATTGGTTACTGACACTAGTACAGAACATGCAAAAGTGTGATTCCGTCATTAATAGATTTAAGAATGTCGAACATCTCCCGAAAATGTTAAAGTTGTGTACATGTATAGATTTTATCGTGATTTAGTAATAGTTATGTCTAGTATGTATAGTATATAAAATGTAATACATATAGAGGATATTTATTACACGGCGGCGCGAAGATATGACTTTTTATCTTCGAGTGGTAACCAGAATAATTTGTGTAACGTGCCGATGTTTTTAACACGAGAAGATAAAAGTCGTATATTCAAGCCACCGTGTAATGTTCTGTTTATTATATAGTCCCAAGCAAAAAATTGTGAAATTTCACGCTCAGAAGCAAATTGGAAAAAGTCACGTGATCGATATGTTCACTAGTGAAGATATGGAAAATATCTCACTGTGTATTTTTCAGTATCTCACTCTCTACTATATAATAAATACGTTTATTTTAATTTTCAGTGTACTTAGTACAAACACAAAAGGAAAAGCACCTAATATACAACTATTTTGTAAATATTTACAAATAAAATTGAATAAATATCATGTATGTTTCGCGTCAGTTCATAACTGGTGTTAATTCATGCAGTTAAGGGTGACCCTGGGGACGAGGTTGGTTAAAACATAAAAGTTACTTTAAAGTTTAGGGGTCATTCATAATTGTCAACATTTTCACAAGCGTATATGCAAACTGTATACGGTGGGGAGAGGGGGAGGTTAACTCTGACGTACCCTTTTGGCTTTTGGGTTATTATTTCTTTCACGAGCGCTATAATGCAAAATGCCGCCAAAATTAGTTATACCAATTTTTGGGTGGCTGACTCAAAGTAAAGTAAACGTGTTTACCGCTTCCTATAATTTTGCCCTCCCCCCGCCTAACCTGACTTGACTAGACAACCTGGCCACGCCTATGACTTTTTAGTTCTCTTAATTTAACCAGCTAGAAAAATTGAGATCTTAGGGAATCATGAAATTTCACATGTGAAATGATATGTAAATTCTCTGCAAGGGCTTACACGATCCGGGTTAATTGCCAACCCGGGCCGAAAGACCTCATGGAGGAAACAACTCCTATATAGCGTAAAATATCCGCATAAGCACTAGCCATGCTATTGTTCTAAAGTTTATCACTGAGAGGTCATTTTTTTGCGGTGGTCTCAAACAATAATGAGTTCCAGATTTTAAGGATATTAGCATTCATAAAAAAACAACAATAAAGGCAATAGAGATTAAAGTCGTGGAATCACTGAAAAAGAAATTACACCGACTATATGCCATGTCAACAACCAATAACGATAAGTCTTTTTCCTATTCTGTCTATTGTCCGACGATTTTACTCGACACAGCGAAACTAGTTCGGGAACGGAAAAGATTCTAAAAACAAGTTTTCAAGGTCAGTAGTATTGTTGCCAAAAAAGTGATAAGTCATTAAAAGACCGAAATAGCTACAAAGGCATGGCCGCAATCCTGTTTCGTGCTCCAATGACGTACGAACCCTTGCTGTTCAATCGACCGGAATGGGATCGATAGAAAAACAATGGGAAACCGTTGATGGTTTAAAACCGTAAACTCATCGCTTTTCCCATATAGGAAAAATCTTCCTACACCAGACACACAATTGTCTGGTGTATGCCGTAGGCGAAATAAAATACGCAAACGTTATACAAAGTCAAATTCTAAGTAATCAGTCACGAGGATTTTGCGGTATCAGATATACAGGCTCCTCCACGGTCATGATTTCGTTCAGTTTTTTACATGAATTTGAATTACAAATTATAAGATGAAATCCTTATCCTGAATGAAAAATTGCTGTGCTGAGTGGTTATATTACTACCTGAGATAAACAAGCAGAAACTCGACGTTTCGAGCGAAGGCCCTTCGTCAAGAGTTAGTGAATCATTCAGAATGATGTATTTAAAACTAGATTTAAATAAATACGTCATTCTATTCAGAATGACGCATATGAATTAGGTCAAAAATCATGCATAAATTATACAATGCGATATAATTACGCATTCACTTTTCTCTGCCGAGCAAAGCAAGACAAGAAGTTTGTACGTCAATTTCCAATTCAGTTTTCGTCCAAATTGAGCCAAAATTTAATCGAGTTTTCCTTGGCCTGTATTAATCCTACAAATTTTCGTGTTAGTACGTTTGACATTTTGTATTTATCGTGCTGACAGACAAACGCACACATGCAGCCATGCACACACACCCAGGTGAAAACGTAACCTCATAGCGGAGGTAACTGCCACAGTCCCATATTTATTTAACCTTCAGGCAGTTCAGGGCCTTCGACAAACGACATGCCGTGCAAAGTTCGTTGCACTCATCCATATCGTTTACAAGTTCAGGAAACACTTGTCTTAATAATTGTAAGTGAGGAAATTATGACGTCTGGAGTGCTCTATGCGAAATTCCGGCTTTTTGAAAAATATTACGTATTTCAGACAGAAATATAGCTAGGTTGAAGTTAAGCCAAGCTGATGAAAAGACGAGAAATGCCAGTAAGCCAAATTGAAACTACAGAAACTAATGAAAGGAAGACCAATTGAGACCGAGGTTGGGAAATGAAGCAGATCACAAGCTGATTGAAGGGCAAGGGTATATATCTTGTATAAAAACACTTCAAGTTTGTTTTGCTAAACAAAAACTTTTATATGGCAGTCGGTTCCTTCCTAACAAATAGTGTAGCTTTAGGCATTCAAAAACAAATCAAAGTGTGCTGAAAAACACCAGCTGCGACTTGAGAGAGATATAACTATCTGAAAATATAACAGACTGATATGGATTTCGATGTTTCGAGCGAATACCCTTCGTCTTCGTAGCTTCCTCGTTGGGAAGTTAATTCGGGATGTTATACATAAAAAAAATCACTAAAACCCACGCCAGCACGTAACAGTTGCAATGCAATATTCAGTCAAAAGTATTAGCAAGGACCATCTCCTTTGTTCAATGACAAGAGAGACAGTATACGTCTATATGGTTCAAACTGAATTACATGAAGAAAACCTGCAATATTCGGGTGAACCCCACTCGTGTTTAACCATTCGATCAGCAACTTTATCAATTTCAGTTTGCATAATCTTATTAAGTGTTTTAAAACACTGGTTGCTGTAGAATATATTAGTGTCATCTGCAAATAATATAATGAAATTAATTTGCAATTTTTAATATCATTGATATAGAGTAGAAATAGAATTGCATGGTCCAAGAATTGATCCCTGTGGGACACCACTCAGTTTAATTACCATTGATTTTAATTGAACTTAGTTGTATTTAACAATCTGTTTTCTATTTTTAAGTGATTTAATCTATTTGCTGTTTGATTTCGGATCAGTATTTTTCTCCATGGCTAAATTAAATTCCTTTGGTAACATACTATTGGTAACATACTATTTGTCTTAAATTCCTTTGGTAACATACTATTTGTCTTATTTCGCTTCATAATTTCATTTAATGTTTTCCATAATACCTTTGTATCATTTATATTTTATTAACTGTCCTTCCTTTGCCGCTTTTATTACATGATTTAATTTATTTTTATATTGCTTGTATATTTCCCTTTTTTTCTGTAGGGTATTGAAGGTATTTTTTATTTAACTGATTTTGCAAGACATTTTGTCATAAATGGGCTTCGAGTTTTATAGTTTAATTCATTTGTGATATAAATACCTACTCCTCCTCCACTTTTAATTAACATTTACATGATCATTATTTTCGAATTTAAAGCGATCTTCGTTAGTTTCATTTTGCCAAGTTTCAGTTAAACCTATTATTTGAAACGGTTTAATTATTAAATTTAAAATAGTCAAATTTATCATGCTTCTAATATTTAAGTGCATCATTGAAAAGTTATTATTTTGGTTTGTTTTATTTATTTGTTTGTTTGTTCTTTAAAATCAGTTGGTAGATAATATTCACAGTTTATTTTTGACGATTTATAGAGATTTGCATTGTTTTCCGTAAACGCAATATTATTACTCGTGTCGAAACCGCATGGGTGTACCCTGAAACTGGGTGAACCCTCCTTAATTAATTACATAACTGAGGCGAAAATTGGCAGACATACCCCACCTACTGTATGTGGTCATTGATTCTCGATTATTAAGACACTAGTTCCCTAAGTTCAGTCTCAAAATCACACAATCCAAATGTTTTATTGGATTGGTTTAGAATGAAAAAATGCACTTAACTTTCGTAGGTACATGCACAGTACTGGTTTTATTTCATAAAGAGAAAAAGCATCATGGCAAAGCCAAGGAGAGACTTTTAAGTAACTACACCCAACTTTGCTTGCTGCAACATGCAAATTTCTGACTCAGTCCCGTGTATTCGCAGACACAGTTGTGGACTGCTTAATATGAGCTATCAAATAGATCAGCCGGTGAGAATGAAAAATATTGATGAAAGTGGACATCTAAGAAGAACAGTTTACAACTGATAAATCTATTTAGTATAAATAAAGTTGGATAGTTATGTACGTTTAGCCGACCTCCTGCACTGAACATGCACTATTGCACTGGAACAATAAGTGGTAGACCTTATACCTCTACTCTCTAGGGAAAACAGTTGATAGATCTATCTAGAATAAGTTAGTTGCAATTTATGTTTTCTCTTCTGGAGCACTGAACCAGAATATTTTAGTTTAAAAATCGAAAGTCATTGAAGTGTGCCATGGTTCTCAGCATTCGTCAGTGTGGGCATTACGGAGGTGTGTCGCATAGCAGCCATATAAACCTAGAACTGACCCCCGGCATACAAATCTCAGTCGTACAGTCATCTGTCATTCACAAAATTAGTGTAAGAAAACTAACCCGTTAAGAACAAAGTTTTCATCGTAATTGTAAGATTCCCTATAATTACTGCAATTCATCCTCGTTCTTTTCAACCATGGCAAAGTTACTACATCCGTTCACAGGATCCGTTAAAGTAAAATTCCGTATGTAAATTAGCAAATTCCAAACGTAGCTGAATGAAATTACTAGAAGATGATTTGCATAAGTAAATATCAGCCCACTGCAATTAGCCAATCGTTGGCACAATTAATTTGGAGTAGCCAATGGAAACGCTTGAATTTCGCGGGTATTATACCTCACAGACGAAGCAGCAAATGAGATTCACGATTTACTCAGAGATTTACTATAAACACACGCCACGAGGACAGACGATACTATACTGTGACTATACCCCGTCGCGTGTAGCGTAACAAGTATGTGTTAACTATATTAACCATCTATAATATTACCTAACATATCTGACATATAATCTGTCGACACATACTCAAATTTCATCATATAAACAACAAGAAACTTATTATTCAGTCAATAACAATAGAAATCTCAGCAGAGAAGGAATCAGAGACCAAAAATGGGTTCGAATCAACAAGATTTTAATAACCAGGCTTTTGTACCTTACGCTATCAACGGCGGGGAGACGGTGTATGTTCCGAACGGCAAGTACGACACGCTTGATTGTAAAGACGATGGTTATGTTAAACCGTTTGTAAATGTCGACCCGAATAAAAATCACGAATATGAAAACCCGGCTGATGTGGCGAAGCGAGCGGGGTTGAACCGGGCTGGCAGTGGTCCTCGTCGTAAGAAGAACCAACTTTACGGCGATACGAAGAAACAGAGAGTGCGTTTGCCCGATACCCCTACAACACCAACCGACGGCGCGGAATCCTCGCCTCTCGTAGTCACGATACAACAGGAACACGAAAAATCAAAGACGCGAAAATGCGACATAAAAATGGTGATATTTTTTATTTTGGTGTTGTGTCTGAGCGCCGGCGGGCTTGCTCTAAGTCTTCTCAACATGTTGAATAAAGAAAATTGCCTGTGCTCGAGACGAGGTAAGAGATTACATAATTCTAACAACACAAAACGTTTTATTTATTTTATGCCGGAGCATCTTCCTACAGTATATCTTAAAGTTGCCCGCTTTCACATGCATATATACGCAATCCGCGCGTCGTATTTTAACACGCAAAACTAAAATGTTAATACAAAATGCGCAGCAGCCTGTGAATTATCACACGAGAAATCGCCGTATTAGTTAGCATCAATAAATCAAATGGAATTTGACCTCATATCATTTCTAATCGCAATTCATGTCAACAGATTCTAACTAAAGACTAGGGGGTATAAATAATAAGTAATAAATAAGAGTTTAATTAACATTTTATATTTACCATATTATATATATAAAATTAAAATGATTCACTATGTCTATGTACATGCAGCTCATACAACTTAAACTATAGGTAAAGTATAAAATGATTTCCTAGTAAAAAAATAAGGCCGATATTATGAGAAACGTCTCGAGACTGAGTATTTAAGAATAAATCCCTTTAATTTTTTAAATCTTATGCGCGAAATAAATTCCCTAATTTTTGGCATTTTTCTGAAACCGGAAATCCATATATTTTACCCACGCTTTGCTAACGTCGTACGACTCTGGAAAACAAATAACCTTTTTGTACGTTTTCCCTTGAGATATTCAAAAGAGCTCATAGTTTCCGACAGGTCATTTGAGCTAACACAGAACTATGTGACTTCGTATATATGCACTGTCACTGCATGTCATTGAAAAAACGTGAACATAATATTAATCTATACTATTCGACGTGTCCCGTAGCAACAAAGATAGCGTTAATTTCACCCACAAATTTTATAATATAAATTATTTCCCTGCAGTTGTCTCAGAAAATCACGAGTAAAAAATTTATCAAATTCTGATCATTTTTCTTTAATTCAGCTATATACGCGTACCATATAAGTTAGTGTGGCGTACTGTCTAAAATTGGCGAAAACTATGTAATCAATTTCTCAAAATATGAGCGCAATATTTTACGATTTCTTCACACGGGAAAAACAAATTTGAAACATTATTTTAGTATTACTACATGCACTTTCGCTAAAGCACTTCAGTGTTTAACGCATATACATTTCCAGATCAGAAATGCGTTACAGTTTTAAGCTAAAACAATCTAACAAATATGACGCCAAAATTTAACTTTCTTCACAAAAGTTATAACTTAGATATTCCTAAATTATATTGTCATCGACATCGTGAAAACAACATAATCTTATGCGCGCCTAAAGAATTTTAAATGTTTCGATATATATGTATGTAAACTTGTAATTTCACTTTCATGTTTCGGCTTTTTTGATTGATGGGAAATTCATATTCTTCCTTGAAATACACGTTCAAAAACAACTCAGAAATGAAACAAACTAGATTAAATTCATCAAAACATTCGAATGTTCTCATTGAATCGACTGAACATTTAATTTCGCATCTAATTTCATTTATGTACGTGTTGGTGTTGGACTTTGACGAACAAACACGATCATTAAGACTGCCTAGCAATGTCTGAAGTGAGAATAATGAATGGAAAAAATCGCCATAAATGATTTCCGCCCTTTTGTTTGACTTTACAACCGATAGTAAAAGTTTGTTTATGCAATCGTCCCGATATATTGATTCATCTATTGTATAGTATTGAACTTTATATGTGTACAACAATCGGTTAATTCCTGGGCACGTGTGGAATGCTATATTTTACATAACAAAATGGTAAAGCGCGATTTTACGAAGGCATTTTATAGCATAAACTGTAATATATATATACAGGAAAGTTGCATTAGGGTGTTTATTACATATACTTGTTGTAAACCAGGAACCCCATAAAACTAAAAGGCTATGGGACTACAGTACATGGTCTTCCTATTCTGACTTCGAAGTGAGCGACTTCAAGTCATTTAAATTTGTATCAGTCCATTATAATGTCTGGTTTACTCGACAGAATCCATGGCGACCCCAAAAAAAAATTTAAATAAAATTGTGTCTTTGAAAGAGTTCTTACACTCTCATGAAACTTAATATCGAGTATAAATAAAGTTTATGTATGTATCTATATGTATGTATAATATAACAAGATGTTTATAACATCCAACAACAGTTTTGATCTACAGTAAAGGGAAAGTTATATCAACCATCAACCCCTGCACCTAAATCAGTAAATGCTATAGTCTTCCATGCATGTTGGGCCGGTTTCACCACGTCTTTTAAGGATTCATGTAATGTAGCCGTTCTCACAACTCACAAGACAGTAAAGCTCAATCATTCCCATCATCATTTAATATGACCATTATACCATTAAATGTGGTTTATATATATACAGAATCCAGTATGTAAAAGTTTCCACTATCATAGTTGGCGACCTCATGCCGACACAAAATCTTTTTCATAATTTGTTTCCTTAAATGTCACATTTATATATATACTTTAAAAACAGGATTTTTATATGATATCCAAGATCAATTTATGAAGGAAATGTTTGAGCTATAGGGACCCTAATATCCGAGCCATCAACCCCACCTATACGCTATAAACCTTCCTTGCAATATGATCATCTTCACGACTCATAACACAGTACAGTATAGAAGTTGCAGTCTCAACCTGCGTGTTGTTTTGAATCATATATTGTATTCTCAAGATGTCTTGTCTTTTCGGAATTTGTTTTTTACTTTACTTATTCTTTTCTTATTACCATTATCATTAAATCTGGTTTACTCTACAGATTCCAGACATCCAGTATAAACGTTTCTGTGATCATATTTGGCAACCCAAAATTTTTACATCATAAAATTGTTCCTTTGGATGTTACTATCTACTATATTTCTGACTTCAAAATTTAGTCCGACAATTTAACTTCAAGCTATTGTATACGAAACTCGAAAGTATAGTTTGGCAGAGTAACGTTTCCTAAAGTTATACCTTATGGCCAAAGGCGAAACATGCTTATACTGGAATATATATTGTTCCAGGAAAACCATGAAATGTTGCAGGGTTCCATGCTGTTCTGGCTTGAAAATCAGTTGATTATATTATAACAGTGCATGTCTAGATTAAAGAATCAACTTCCTGAAAAGTATGGCTGGACGTTTCGAGCCCATGCTACCCATGGGTTGACGTTAGTTTGATGCAGTAATCCCTTCAGTATTCCAGCGCCACGAAGCGCATGTTTTCATATAGCGAAATCGTGTGAAAGCCAACATTGTCCAAGAAGCCCAAGATGAAGTGGTTCCCTTTCTCAGCCCTTATAGGAGGACTTGCATGCAACGACCCTTTAAGTGCGTTTTGATACTGAAACCCTTAGTTGACTAAAAGGAAAATGTTTGGATGAGAGCTATCTATGGTAATGATGAACTGACAGACGGGCGTCCTTAAAGAATAAAGTCCTTGATTTAAGTTGGCGAGTGAATGATAAAACTGAAAATTTCAGCCGACTGTCACTCCCCATACAAATCTGTCAATTTCAATTACCACACTACGATAATAGAAATTATCACAAGCTTGTTTCAGAAAGGTAATTTCCGATCCATAATCCAATCTAAACTTATATAACGACAGCCAAGTACATCATAAACCTCGTAAGAGGTCAAGTCATGACGATGTCACACCCAACTTTGTGCCCATATATGCTTGTGCTCAGCGCAACCCATTTGATGGTCAACTGTTAAAAAGCTGAAAGCAACGAATCTTCTTTACCTATACCTTACTTTTGTTGGTCGAATCTATATAGATAGTTTGATGGAAACATTAGAATTTTACTGTTATATATACATGACGAATTCAACAGGAAAATTTTTTAAGGCTTTGTTTCTTTCTCAACTGCAGCCAGGCTCTGGAATCTGACTCTGTAATGCCAAACGATTTTACTGGACAATTCATGCCAATGGAAGTATGGCAGTGTTCAGTATAACCAATATCTTAATTTGTAACTATCCATGCAAGACTGCAATTCATGCAGGCTTCAATATTTAAAACAACTTTTGCAAAAAAGTAAATTCCCGACGAAAGGCCTTCGCTCGAAACGTCGAATTTCGCTTTGTATTTTTCAGGTAGTTGTATCCCTATCAACGAAGCTTGTTAAAAATGAAGATGAATAATGATATTTCGAGTTTATCATTCAAGGTCATCATTAGACTAAATATATAGTATTGCATAAACAAACAAACTTTATTCAAACAGGGCTACCAATACTGGTATACAAATAGGATATAAAACATATTAAATTTACAGAGAGACTATAGTTATAATTGATCATGCAAAATGTGTTAGGACATCGAATCAATATTTGGCCACCAATGTCCCCACGGATTTCTCTTTCACTTCAATAACCTGCATATATATACACAAATATTAATGTAATTAAAGTCCAATGATAATTTTGCCAAATCTATTTTCGTTCACACTCATTTCAGTTTAACATCAATTAATCATGTATATCTTGGAATTTTCTAAATGCTTATCTTTGGATTATGTGTTGTTTTACATTGTAATTCATAGAAATATGATTTAAAGTATAAAATAAGGAAATAAATTGTCTAAGCCAACCAAGTTTTGCATATTCGTGAGAAATAACATGTTGGCGGAATATTACTTAACCATAAGTGGGTGGTTTGTATTGGTTTTTCGTCTGCACGGAAATGATTTTATCATTAGTACATTCGCCGTATGAATGATTGATTATATACTATTTTTGACTTTGGTAAGAGCCTTAGCCCAAAGTTTAGCAGGAAGCAAGCAAATTCTCAGAAAACGCGTCATGACATAGCCAAAAGCAGGTCAGACGCAACTGCATGAGCAGGTCAGAACATGTAGGGTGGATTTAAAAACAATGCCAGGAAACTATATTATAGGAATCAGGTTACGTCGTGAAATTTAGCAAGTCATTCGCACCACATGATGTATGGCTGGTGTGTTGATTTTGTAAATACAGAAATCCGTCTGTAAAATGGATTAAGATGGTTCCCGAAGCCTTTCGCTTCCTTGTTTTATCATTTCCTGGAGTGAACCTTATTTACAAGGAAATTAAATACCAATTAATTTAGAGATACATCATTGCTAATTTTCCTAACTTGAAATATAAGTTTGAGGAGAAGTTTAGTTATATAGAACTGTTATAATAGTTTCAACATGATGCAAATTTATATACTACACTGATCTAAACTAACTATAATGATATACTGGATTGCTCTATACTAGTTCTTAGTTCAGTGTTCTGAACTGTTTTGAGGCGAGCGCATAAGACATGAAACGAAATTATATAATCAGACAATTTCAGTATTCTGAAGCATTGAAGGAATTGTTACTATATAATTATTATTGTATAGGGTTTCAATCTCATCAGTTTTCCAGCCAAAACTTTGTCGTAGACACCCGAATTTACCAAATCCAATCAGTTCCCACCAAAGGTTTAAATCCAATCTTCCCATGCAAGTGAAAAAAAAATTAGGCAAAACCGGCTTCCATTCTACACCCTTTATAGACCTCTAAATGTATATATTATATACTCATCGACGAATAAGGATGTTGTTCTCACCATAGATTCATCAAAAAGAAACCGAAAAAGGATCTTTTTAAAAATATATTTTCCCTATATTAATTATACCGGTTGCTATTTTTGGAGCGTGTGAATGGAGCCTTTTTAACCACAATATTTCAATATACTAGAGAGGTTTTGACTTCCACTACCGCTTCCATTAACGAATCCGACGCATTTATTCTACCTGATTAACCAATGCGTATGAAGCCTGATAGCGGTATAGTGGAAGTCAAATCTGAACCTCTCTAATATTCCCATGGCAGACATATATACCTCTTATATATATTTATGAAATTTATATATTATACGTTTGATCAATAACAATTATCCTATTAATTCGTGCGGTGCGTATGGACGCCAATTTCAGTTTGTCGGACCGCGGTCGGACAGAGCTCCACAGGAAGCCGATCCAAGGTCATTTCCGCCCTTCTCTAGTTAACGCTTTTTTATTAATAATACCAAGCCGAAAGTATCCTATACATCATGCAGTCACGTTTTCAACTGCATATTATTGCATAGACTGTAAATGTAGTAGTATTGTACGATTCGAATATACAGTATATTCTGTTACTCAAAGTTTAATTTTTTTGAATATCCGATAGCAGTTTATTTATTACAATGTTTATTACAATATTGCATGAACACTATAGAGTTTAGACTTAACCAGGAAAACATTTTAACTACCATTCACCGATGGCTTTATATAGGTTATGTTAATTATTTTTAATTATTGTTAATTATTTTAATTAAGACTTTTCTGAACAACTGTCTATCGAAGTTTTATCAAAGTGTGACATTTCAGACATCTTTCAAAGACAGCATTTTAATTCAAGATAGTGGGAGTTAAAACATATCTCACAGAACCATTTAAAACCATTGTAAAAACTCCCTTCATACTGAAACGGTTAAAAACTTTCCTTTTAAAATACTCAAATAAGTCCATACACTAGTCGATTAAAAAATATCAAAAATTTCACCCGTCACTCGTCAGAACAAACGAACCTTCAACCGTTGAAGACTCGTATGCGATCGTTAACGAACATAAACGATATTTAAAATAACTTTCGGTTTATAGGGTATGCCTATTACCTGAGCTACCATGTGCTCACTCCTCAGCATTTACCAGTGGCGTTTACATACGAAAGCAAGCCGCCAAGGTTGGAAGACCTACATCAAACATACCGACTTGGTCTCTACCAACTTGTTTAAAAGTTAATACAAAATACGGTTATATATATATATACAAGGTTGTACACATGAAAAATGCTATAATATATTTCTATGGATTTTACTTACTTTCCGCACAAAATCTACATTACATTGAAAGACAGACATTGCATGCATGTGAAGTTAAACAGTAACACAAAAGCATATTGACTATCCACTGTGCTAGACAGTCTACATTGAAAATTCACTGCATCTATAAAACGACTTTCATGTTTCTTCATATATGGCACAAACGTTTTCTTCCCACTTTTTAATATTCAAAACATTAATATTTCAGTTAATTTGTTGGAAAAACTTTTTTGTTTTAATTATGTTGAGCTATAGATTGAAGTTTTAAAGCTCGTCTTATAATTATTCCATGAATCTCTTAATTAATATTGACCGGTATTTGTATATGGAATGTAAAGGCTTATAAGATTAAATGCTGAAGGAAATCTGTAGATACTAAAGTGAAGAAACTCTATGATTCGGTATTTTCTCGTATTCACATTCGGAAAGAAATCTAATACCAATAGACTGTACTGTTTATAGCAATTTTGCCCCAATGGCCTCGTTTTCATGTCGTTATTCTCTCATGTTTCGTACACAGTATAGGGTTAAGGATAGGTTTGTGATTGGCTCAAGATCAAAGAGAAACATATTCGTGACAAAACATGGGGATATAACCTTCATGTGAAATTGCCATGCTAAAACAGACTAACAAGGAAACGAGGCCATTGGGTAAAGGGGCAATAAACAGTATCTCGATAATAGTAATATATAAGTAATAGTAAGTCTATTACTTATGCAGTTCATGCCTTCATGGTGAACAACATTTCAAAATTAATTGGGTCCAAATGGATAAAGGTTAGCACATTTCTTACAACACACGTGTTCTTATCAAGACTTCCAATTGGCTCTCGAAAATAGATTTGGCGGGAAATTGCAGACCATTAATTAGCATTTCATATTCTGTCCATTAGCATGGGCACTATTTTACAAATATTTGCCCTGCACAAAAATATGTACGTACGAACGATAATGAACACAACATTCATCACTATATAGGGTTATAGCATTTGATGGCTGCATGATACTGTGCACGATGCAAGGACCGCGGAGACGGGGGGGCTGGGGGGCTTTAGCCCCCCCACTTTTTTTGACAGCCAAAATTATTAAAATAGAAATCTAAATGAAACTTTCTAAATTAATTAAACCTCACCCTTTAGCCCCCC